CTTATTTACTACTCGGACAGAAAAGGAGTAAAAAAGAATGAATAATTTCAAAAAATTACTGCGTAAATTAAATTTTATATGAGTAGCGAAAAATTAATAGAAAATAACCAGTTAGATGCCATGCTATTCTTTTCGCCCGAAAATCGCTTTTGGCTGACGGACTTTCAGTCCAGTTTGGGATTTTTGTTTATTACTAAGTCAGAAAAGCATCTTTTGGTGGATGGTCGCTATATTACGGAGGCTCAGAAAAGTGTCCGCGATAAGTTAACCAAAGTTCACTTATGAGAAAACCCGGACGATATACCAAATTTTTTAAGAGAAAAAAATGTCCGGCGGTTGGGATTTGAGAAAGAATATATCACGGTGGCTCAGTTAGAAAAATGACAAAAAACAACCCCCGAAATTAATTGAATAGGAATCGAAGTCGGCAAATTACGAGCCATAAAAACCGAAAAAGAAATAAAAAGAATGCGGCAGGCGGCACAAATTACCGACCAAACTTATCAAAAAGTTTTAAAATTAATTAAACCAGGAATGAGTGAAAAAGAATTGGCTAAATTAATCCGCCATGTTTTTGAAGAATTTGGAGCCGAAGAACTTTCTTTTGACACGATTGTAGTTTCTGGAAAAAATGGTGCTTTACCCCATGGTCAGCCGAGCGATAAACTTATTAAAGAAGGTGAATTAATTACCATCGATTTTGGTTGCAAATATCAAGAATATTGTTCAGATTTTACTCGCACTTTCGCACTTGGTAAGGAAATTAACCCGCAATTAAAAGGGATTTACCAAATAGTTCAAGAGGCTCAATGAAAAGGTATTCAAGCGGTCAAACCAGGAATAAAGTGTAGCGAAATCGACCAAATTGTTCGGGATTATATTCAACAAAAAGGCTACGGAAAATATTTTATTCACTCCACCGGTCATGGGTTAGGAATTGAAGTTCATGAAGCCCCTTCTGTCTCGGCACGGGATAATACCGTTCTTCAACCCGGCATGGTTATCACGATTGAACCGGGCATTTATATTCCTGAGTTAGGAGGAGTAAGAATTGAAGATGAGGTTTTAATTACCAAAAATGGTTATGAATTACTTACCAAATCACCCCGCCAATTAATTTTGTAGCATAGAAAAAAATATTAATAACCATCGGCTTAGGAGGAGCAAAAATT